GATGGCCCAGAGTCCAGTCCATCTTTTCTTGGGGCCAGTCCACTGATTAGAACATGCCGAAGATGTTAGCATATAACATTGAGCAGTTCACAAACTTTGTAATATTAAAATTGTTGAAATAAGGCTAGAAGTTTTGCAGTTCTGATATGTCAGTTCACAAGTTCTAGTTAAACAGGGGGGGGGGGGGGGGGGGGGTATAGCGTGTCTACTACAAGAGTACAATGTGATCACGATATTAACTATGTTTGACCTCACACCTTTCCTACTATTTTTCCATCTGATAAAAGTGCTTTGGCATTTAATAATTTTTTATAAGAACATATGAGGATATGCTGAATTTAATTGTGATAAGACAATATGTGTGAAATTGAATAAAGCAGTAAATAAGAGTTATTACGTTTTGACATATTTCATATGTAGAAACTGCTATGTATTCTTTTTATCCCTCTATTATCAATTTACAATTGACTTGTTTCTTTCACCATTATTCAATGTGACTTCATTTCATAATGACGTTGTCTAATAATAATAATATGTTGTCTTCTGATAGCTTGTATTCTAAAGCTTCGTTTTTTAAAAATAATTATACTTGTACATCACATACAGAATGCATAATTCATTTACTCAATGTACTTTTACATTGAAGGTGTTGAAATTCAACATCATATATTCACACTACCCTACCACGTGACCACGTTTAAAAGGGAAACAGGGTACAGCTAAGTTGCAAATGGAGGACGTGGGTTTAATTCCATATTTCTGAACGTAAAATACATTTTACATTTATTTCTAGTGTTCTACCAGACATAGAATTGTTTCATCAAGCAGTTTGTAGAATATTGTTGGCAAAAACCACTATAGGCAAAGATAGATAATAGTCGGCGCAGTGAAGCAAAACTCAATGCAATACACGATACATTTCAGTAAATCTGTCAACGTACAGGGAGCATGTAAGTTTCCCTTCGAAAATGTTACATTGATATGTAACAAAACCCCAGTAAACTGTTATTTAAACTGCGTGTCATCGTGTTATATGTGGATACGTTTTCCAGTATGTTATTCAACTGTACTTATGTGAATTAATTGTTTTTCTAAAATCTTAAAATGCAAAAAAGTCGTCCCAGAAATGTATCTTTACTTTGCCGTAAGTAAGGCATAACATATTGTGAAACATTTTTCCTCTTGTCACAAGGAGGATAATGTTTGTTTCGAGGTGTCTTGTGATGAGCGTTTCATGATTAAATGCAAAATCACTGGAGCAGATACCATCCCAAGGAGGATTGGCTCCCAGAGTGCACCACCGATATTCTGTCCCATATATGGGTATGTCGTAATACAAAATTCGAATTCAAACAGCCGCCATTTTGTTCACTTCAACATTTAAATCGTGAATTTTGGTCTTATTTCCAAACGAAAAATTCCAAAACTCACAAGAAATGATCGAGATATTGGTTCGAATCTTTTGAACTGTTTATTTTGAATTTATAGTCGGTTTTAATTTCAGAAAATAACGACATTTCGACGTTTTCATTGTTGGAAAATATCGAGTTTCGATCCTGGGAGCCAATCCTCCTTGATACCATCCAAAAACATCTGACATTCAACACGTCATATAAGACTACATCGATCTGGTATTAGATTTTTTTTACAATAATAGAGAAATACGACGTCATATCACCTCTACAGCAAATCGTGAAGAACAAAATGTCGTGGCATGATGGTATTTTGAACAAACTATTTTAAATGATCGGTTTTTGAGGACGTTAGTGAATGAGACCATTGAAGGGGTTATATAGAAAGATTCTTTACATGTAGTTCACGCAATTTTAATTATTCTGAATAGCGGATAGTCATTAATCCTGATAGCCGATAGTCATTTATCACTTACGTGTTTATATTTAATTTCGTTATTTTATTTCAATTTGATACCCTAGTAACACGTATAATCTAGCGTTCTTGTTAATTTAATGACTAAAATGCACATACGACCTGAAAGCCCGTGTCTAAATCTACTAAATAATGTTTACTTTATTTGGATTAAATAACAATTGATGGCACCTCAAAGCATCAACAGGCGGCCTTTTTAGCATTATTTTCACTGTTTGCAACGTAAATATACATGAGACCGGGACATAGTATGTCTGTATAATCAGCTTACTGTCTCGCTCCCTGTACTATTGAACAATTAACATTCCTTGTACCCTGCATTGATCAACTTTTGCAGCTGTGTACCGTGTACTATGACATATCAAATATTTTAAAATTTAAAACGATATTATTTACATTCTTTCTTCAACTATCATATAACTTGGATCATGGACTTCACTATTGCACCACTGAAGTTCAGCGAATAGCAATATTGACTCACTCCGAGCACCAAACGTATTAACCTTTTCACTAAGCAGTCGATATACTCAAAAGCAACCTGATTGAAAGCCAAAAAATTCGCGCATGCGCTATCGAGGTAGGGTAGTGTGTATTAGTGAGCGTAAGCGGAGTATGTGCTAAAACAATAGTCACTAAAACTAAAAAAGAAACAACAACTTACTTATTCTCATTTACTTTGCATAAGTCATAACTGATGAGCAAGAAAAGGTTGCAAACAAGCAATCATATTCAACAAGAAATAAAGATTTGTTTGATTTGTCCAACCCCATAACAATGGTAAATGCACTATATGTATACTTCAAAAAGAAAGGCAATGTACAGAACAATCAATAATGATACCCATGCAAAGAGAAAATGTTTAGATTCCATAGAACTAAAAACCCCGATTGATGCTTATTTGTTGCCTCAATATAATCACAAAAACAGAGACGGGTTGCAAAAAGCTCGCGCACGCATTGTTACACATTTTGTGGCGTAATCCAGAGGATCCTCGCTTTTAACATGATAGAATGTGACGTTTTTGAGAAAAATGTACACACATGAAAATCCTTTCGTCCTCCACATTTACCTCTATATCTCAAAACATTTTAGACGAATAACTCTGATATCATATATATATTGTTAATGGGCTAGGAGCATCATAAAACACGAATCAATTGATATTTTAGGTGAAATAAATATACGTGTTGCTGTGCTTGAAAATAGGCGAATGGCGTAAATTAGCCCTATTTTAATGAATTTTGAAAACCTTTCGTCCTCCACTTTTCCACATACAACAGAAAACACATACTTTTGTGAACAAAATCAACTAATTATTAATAAACTAGAGTTTAGGAGCAAAATAATCATGTATGATTTATTAAAAATTGATCTCGTATTTTTTGTTTAATGTACACCTGAAAAGTTGAAGGTACCAAAAAATGAGCAAAAAAGGTCGCTGTCAACAGATTCTATTTTTCAGACTCTATGACTCTATGACTCTATGACTCTATGAGTTATGAGCGTATAAAGACGAAAAATAATTCAAAATGTAACGTGTCAACATGGGATATTTGCCAGATGTTTTGGTAAAAAACTCTTTTTTAAAAACGAACGCGCAAAAAATGTGAACGAAGTGTAGTTGATCTAAAATCTTCATCGAAACAGCTTTAAAATGATATATGACTTTAATTAGAATATTATCTTATATTCCGGGGAATCAAAGTTACATTCATTCGATACCCTTAAAAAACAAATGCGCCACCTTTTTGCGACACGTCAGAGATAAACAGATTTATAGAATAATATTTGCAAGAAATGACTTGTCAACAGTGATAAGATGAAAATATGTACACATTATCAGAAGAAATGGAATCATTTTCAAGTGAATCTCTATTCGATTCAATGAATGACATTTTTTTTATATCATACTGCAAAGGACTTGTACCCCCAAGATTGTCATTCTGCCCCTTAAATGGTTATAATTTTGGAATGATTGTTGTTAATGACATACCATTAATGTTTTTTTGACAAATATGATGGAAAAAGTGCAGATATTCTGGGATTAGTAAGGGAAAAACGCTTGAAAGTTGCATGTAGGCGGGCATGTTAAGGTTCTTTGGGATTTCTTCCATAACAAAGGCATGACAACAATACATGCATAGTTAAATCTATCCTTTGGGTCTAGGATGACCTTCATTTTTATATGAGAAGGGCCTTCATTTAAGATATTGATAGCCGAGATAGATGATACTTCTAAAATTTATATGAATATACAACTATTGCAACTTTACTGTGTGACCAGATTCAACAATATTGAAATATTCATGTACTAGGAGTAATCTACACTCAATTTGTATAATCAAGTTATGTTTAATTGAGTGAATCAGGTCAGGCCATTTTACAATTTTATTTAATGTAAGATAAGTCATGGAATTAGGTCATTTGGGCCTTTTCTCTCATGGAAGCTATGACCTAAATATGAGGTGGAAAATGGCCCATGCCATAGACTGTTTATACAAGTTCTGGTTCACTCAGCCATACCATAAATTTTAAAGGCATTACAAAATTGTATTGAGCTTGGAACCTCATCTCCTGATGCACCAGAGCAGATGATTGCATTTGTATTTACATTCCCACCAACAAGAGTGGAGTTTCAAGATATTGAATGGCCTATTTATTCCAATTCAAACATAGAAATTCATCACTGGCCATCCCCAGCAAAGCCCTAGATGTGAAGTCATAACATAGAGCAGATTCCAAGTGATTCCTCTACCAAGAATTAGAATTAGCTATGCTGCACCTGATAAACATAGAGCACAAGTTTACAGTTGATCTTTTTTGGCTGATCTGTCATTTCAACTTGCTAGTTATCTAAATGAAATGATGAAATAATATCTGTGTACTTTCAATTCATAAGAAATAAATCCAACATAATAGCACAATTGAAGCTAGAAAAATTGGGCATCAAACAGGATATTAAAATGAAGTTCCCAACTTTTATCATAATTGTAAATGTTTTATTTATTTGTCCTATTCCACGTGATTCATGAAGTGTCTCTTTCTTTGTACAGCTCCAATTGATTTCCTATGTTATGTATAAGAAAATATTTTGATGATTTTTATGATTTCAGGCATCTTCTGGTTGAGAGGAAAGCTAACAGAGAGAACTCTCCACTGACAGACCGACTGATAGCAAGAGCTGTTGCTCTGCACAATGCTGAGTAGAACTTGGCAATATTACTTGCACAGATACATTCCAGAGACCAAACAGCAATATTACTAGCATAGTTACATTCAGAAGAGACATATCAATATTACTTGCACACTAGTTACATTCCAGAGACCAAACAGCAATATTACTAGCATAGTTACATTCAAAAGAGACATATCAATATTACTTGCACACTAGTTACATTCCAGAGACCAAACAGCAATATTACTAGCATAGTTACATTCAAAAGAGACATATCAATATTACTTGCCAGTTAACATTCCAGAGACCAAACAGCATTATTACTAGCATAGTTACATTCAGAAGAGACATATCAATATTTGGATAAAAAGTGTTTGATAACAGAAAAGTGTGAGAACTAAACCGAAATATATTTACAAGCTACACAGTATAAATAAATTCTTCTAAGCAGGTGTCCAGAATCGGCACCTCCTCCCCCTGCTATACCCAATTTGGAAGCTCTTGATTATATCTGTATATGTGATCTCATTATGCACCGAAAAAGAAGATATTCTGGATCTTGGAGCCCTGCTGTGGGAGGATGGTTTAAACACATACTAGTACATGATTTAAATAACTGGTCCCATGCATGTACTTAAAGGAGTAGCAAAAGACAGAAATGAGTTGTACTTGCAGTTCTTTGTACAAATGATTTTATGATTTTTTTGATGAGATGATTTGTTGTGGATTATAAGATATACAAATTTGGATCATATGGGATTTATTGACAACTATATTTATTCTGGGTAGCTCTAGCAGTAAAAAACTGGTCTTTTAAGAGACTCAGTATTATTTAACAATTATTTACAATACAATTAATACAAACACATACAAATAGATATAAGAGAAATACATGAATATAAAGAACCATTTCTTTAAAGAATGCATTTACATAAATCTTCACTTTCGGATATGATACATCGACCTGATTACATGCTTTCTTAAAAGAATTTACAGAATCAGACTCTTTAACAGTCTTATCAAACTTGTTCCAAAGATGTGAACCGCTGTGTGATATGCTTCTCTTAAATATTTCAAGGTTAGGTTTTGATACATCAAGCAAGAATTTTCTACAACTGTTCTAGTAGCATAATAATGGACAGACTTTGTCTTGTTATTCTATTAATTCTATTAACTGTTCCTGAATCTTATATACCTTATAATAATTTATAGCTGAATGTTTTGACTTAGTTAATTATGCTCAAAATAATAAGTTTATAAAATCTACATAGAGACCAAAACATTAATTTTTCATTTTACATATTAAGAGCTCTGTCCTGCTACTTTGTGATGAGTCATTCATCAAAAACTGCTTTATTTTTGATACTAAATATTATACTAACTGTATTTGTGATAGAAAAAATTGAGTATACCACATAACATTGTCACATCTGAAGATATCTTTTATGGTAACATTTATATAGAATTCTTTTCATATTGACAATCTTATAAACTCTGGTCATTCATTGTCTTGGGTACAAATTATACATGTACTGAAACATCTATTTTTTGAATAACTTGTACAATGTTGTATCACCAAAATAAAGTAAATAAAATACTAGAAATATACGATAACTATTTGTTTTTATTTCAAACAAGATTACAGTGTGTATGTATGTGTACATGATTAATATGTCACCACCTAGACCTGATGACAAATTGTTATTGTTTAGACTGATCCTTTAAGTCAGCTTAATCACAAAAAAGCTGACTAAGGTCTAAGGTCAATGTCATTAATCTAGGTCACAAACGGTGTTTCTTACTTACATGTAAGTTCAAGACTACAAATCAATATTTTGTACTTGTAAGTTAGTTATTCCCCTGCATTGCCCTCGGGTTACATTGGTGTCAGAAGTGAGATAAAAGCATTGGATGTATCCTTTGCGCCTGTGTATGTGTGTGTGGGAACACATACCCTGCATAGCCGTAGGCAGCGGGGGTTCGGTGGGTTCGAACGAACCCCCGGTCAGGATTTCCCAAAATATCATTTTGCGGAAAAATGCATATAACCAGAAACATTAAATTACTGTGCTATTTGAAAACTACATATATGACCAGTAAATGAATTGATATTTGTTATGGTGAACACGAGAGCCTTATTTTGTTAAAACATGTCATAATGAAGTTACACTTCCCTCAAAACGTTTGGCAACCTTAGGCACGGGATGAGATTTAATTGTGGGAAGACCCCCAGAGCATGAGATTTTACATTTAGAAATAACAATAATTTCGCACAATTAACTTTTAAAGCTGCTTCTTCTCGGACAAAATAACATATCTTGGGCAATGGCTAAATCAGTCCTGTGTAGGAATTTTGTTTTAAGCCAGTTCTGGTCCAATACGAAGTTATTGAAAGTTATTGAAAACAATGCAGACGTCCCATACTCCGAATGATTTTTACAACATTGACGAAGAAATATCTGGAATAGTCGTAATATTGATGAAACACATGTTCTTTCAAATGAGTACATCTCTTTTTTGTTTTATTTCAATTAAAATTTAAAATATTTCTTGGGACGTCCCTGGGGCTGGGAAGTCCCCAAAACCAATTGCGTTAAATAATTAAAAACGTTGTGAAATGAATTATTTAAAAGCGTGTATAATTTATAAACACAAGCATTTGTTCAAATTTATTCATTTCATTTGTTCAGTATTTACTTCCCATCACTTTTTCAAAGAAAAAGCAATCATTGCAAAAAATGATTTTGTTTTTTTAGATTCCCTCCACTCATCTAAGAGATTGTATAGAATTCAAATTGTTATCGTTCCAGTTTACTTGCTCTCCATTTTTATTAATGTCATGATATGTTTAGCGAATAAATTACAAAATAAAAAACATTGGGGGACGGGGACGTCCAAAGAAATATTTTTGACTTTTTAAAACAAAGCATAACCGAGACCTACTTATTTGAATAACAGATGAATAACAGATTACAGAATAGATGTTTTCATCAGTAATACAACTATCCCGGATAGTTTAAAAAGCCTTCGTGTAAACGTTGTGAAAAGTTATCATGGAAGAACGATCTTTCGGAGTATAGGGTGTTTGCGCCATTTTCATTAACCACGCATTTGATCCAAACTGGCTTCCAACAAAGTTCCTGCAAAATAATGATAAGCCATTGCATGAGGTGATTTATTTTGTCCTAGATGAAGTAGCTTAAGTTGAAGAATAAATTGTGCGAAATAGTTGATATTCCTTGGTAACAAATCATGCTCCGGTGTAAAAGGGTAGGAGGTCCTATCAAATTATGGTCCTACTCTCCATTGATTTATATGGTGACCTAAATACAACTATTTCCCTCATTATTTTATACACAATCAGGGCCAGTAAGGGCCGTTAAGAAAGGGGACCATAATCCCTGCGGGACCATCATTTCTTTCACACCGGGTCTTCCAGAAATCAGACGAAATAATGGTGGATCCGGGGCAAATCAGATTTCAGGATATATATATTCAGTAAAAGATTCACCGAAAAATATTTTGATGCAGAAAATCATTTATAAGTTGTCTGACTTTTTTGCACGTTGCCTGTTTATTTTACTTTGTGAACATTAAAGTTACAAAGCTACAAGGTTATTTTTGAAAATCATTTTTACGTCCTGTGTTATTTCAATGGGAGAGGTTTCTTGATGAAGCCGATTACTTTAAGACTTTGCTTAACGTAAATAAAGACATCATTTTTGTTAAATAAAATTCAAATACAATTGTCTACTTGATGAAGGTATTAAAATGAATTCTATTTCCCCTCCCAAAAAAGTTTTTTCTTTACAAATTATGCATGTAAGAATTCAAACTTAAAGATATGCTTTAATACATAATCCAATGGGTTGGTTAGGATTGCCAAACTTTTGGAGGGAGTGTAATTGTACAAATTGCACAAAACTGTTTTTATTTGAGGAACCCTAATGAAGGGGGGGGGATTTGTGAATAACATAAAAATAGAACCCCCGGTCACCAAATCCTGGCTACGCCACTGCCCTGTACACGTTTGTAACCATTTGTGGATGGAGATATTTTGTTTTATCGTATGATCTGTAAAATGAAGCTTTACGATTGGTCGGTTTTTGTGCTATACCAATCTGTATTGCTACTGAGATTGTCCCCATTGATCATCTCCGTCGCAATACAGAAGATAGGGGGCCCCCCGATAGGTACGGAGGGGACATTCTCAGTAGCAATACAGACACGATAAAAACATTATAGAATGATTTGAAGTGCAATACAGGATATATTCTACAGTGGGGGGCATAAAGAATTACAAAACAAATGGAAATTACATGTTGTCGCATATGTAATAAATTCTTACCTCAGTGTATTCAGTGCTCTATCTTCTCCGTCATAGTAAGTCCAGATATAGTGGAATTTGTGTCCATAATGACAAATAAGAACTTAAAAATTTGATGTGGAATTCACATGTTAATGCCGACTCTTCAAATGTTGAGGTGATTTTGGAGCCAGATTACGCCGCAATTATGGGTTGGCTCCCAGAATGCAACATGACACGTGTCCGCTTTCAAAATGCCATTCCGCCGTTTTGAAATACGTCACGAATAAATAAGGTTACTTGATGTTGCATTCTGGGAGTCAATCCTCCTTGGATCACAAACATGGCGATTCATGAAAACATTAGTCCGATTTGGTAGGGATTTATCCATCATTTGCAGGTATGAGGCTTTGGATTCATTTATTGTGCTACTTAAAGTGGATGGGAATTATTTTTCTACCACTATGGAGAGTTTGAGACATGAAACTTAGAATTTAGCTCATTGTGACAACTTTTGAGGGTTGAGATTTATTTTTGTCCCCCACTTTATCTCAATATTCTGTATTGGCACTCGACTTCGTCTCGTGTTTCAAATGTTAAACCTAAATGGTTATTTGCGAACTTAGAATATTCTGGAAGTAAACTCATTGAAAAATGTGGTCCTACTCCTAGCCTTTCACATGATCCTTATGATTGAAATACTAGTACGTACTAATTATTTCGTGATCCAAATAAGGTAACCATTTTCATGTTGCAAGCCGGAAGTGTAAAGTAAGAATTTTAAACTTTTCGGTGCAATTTGTGATATTTATGACATTACCGTACGCTTAAAAGTACTCATATTGTTATAATGAATAAATGAACATAAGGTTATGTTACACATAAATGAATTTTTATCGATGATGATCACGTTTCGAGTTGAAATCCATTTTCATTTATGTCATTAGATCTATTTATGGTCTGCTCGCATTTCAATTTAGCCTACAGTAGGCATGTACACTTTTATCTAGCATTTACAACAAGTGACAGCACAAAGTGAAATAGCAACCTAGTGAGAAACCAGCACAGAGAGACTATTTGGTGACATAAAAGCACCATAAGGATATCAACAACAACAACATGTTGAACTCAAAGTTCATTTGATTTTTGTCGACTCACTATAAGTACTTACCTGTAATGACTAAGCTAAATTGCAATGCACTTTAGCACCTTGATTTGATTGCATGTCAGGTCTAGATTATTTAGATTATTTATGGATCAACATCTTCATTGTAATTGTTGGGCACAAATAACAGGACCTTACTATAGTGATGTGATTGTTTAGCATATGAGCTACATGTAAGTTGGATTATAAGTTTATAAGCAGGGGCGTAGCCAGGATTTACAAAGGGGGGGGTTGTTTTATAACGAAAGGGGGGGATTCAGGGGCAGATCTGGGAACCAACAAGGGGGGGGCCCAACTTTCTAGTCAGAGAAAAAAACTTGTGCGCTTGCGCGTAAAAAAATTTTGGCCCTTAAAACCAAAAAGTGGGCCCAAATTTTGAAATTGTTGAGGCCCATTTTCTCTAAAATTTGGCCTAAATTAAAAAATAAGGCCTTTAAAGGCTCAATTTTTCGGGCCTTAAGGCCTCTTTTTGCATAGGGTGAAAACATATTGAAGAACCTCTTTCCTCAGATTTCATTGTGATATATTTCATTATATATATATTACAAATATTGTATTGATCGATGTATGTGTTTTCAGATCACCAAGCTTAAAATATGACTGATTGGAAATCTTTTTACTGGGCATCATTTCTTGTAAGTATCTAGCTATCATTGTTTAGGAATGAAATAAATAGAATCAATAAATCATAATCACTTAATTTTAAATCAATTACTTATGGAAAGTTAGAAAAATACTGTTTCGAGATTACCTTACTTTCTTATCCATACATTGTCACCTTTCTTTTTATGCCACCACCAAGAACTATTAAAAGGAACATGCTGTTATATCAACTGTTTTCTTGTGAATTGCTTTTGTGGTTGGAATTTGGTATATCCACATGTAACCATGTGTATGTTAATGCTTTCTAAATGAATGCATGTTTTAGTCATTTTGTAATATTAACTCTATATATAGGCTGGGGGAGGGGCAGGGCTTGCTGTGGATATTTCCCTGTTCCCATTAGACACTATTAAGACTAGACTACAAAGTGCACAGGGCTTCTATAATGCTGGGGGCTTCAGGGGAATATACTCTGGTTTACCATCTGCAGCCATCGGATCTGTACCAACTGGTAAGGACATTTTTACACTCACGTTAAACTATAATGAGCCCAATATGAGGTGTGACAAATTCATGTGTTTTTAAAGATGCAATGTCATCAAGAAACATAATGAGAGTACCCCCTTGATGTTTTGACGCTAAAAGATGTACAGCAAGTTTGTCTATCTACTTACCAAGTTTGAGGCTTCTACTAATCCGTTACGATATCAATTTTGATGATTGTTCAAAGACATTACTTATTTCTTGCTTAGTTATGAAGTCGAAATAAAATGAAAGATCCCTGTTCAACAATTTGCTTCAATCTGATCGGCTGACAACCCATGTTTCCATTGTAGCGATGATGGGAAAGTTAACTAGTAAATAAACAACTTAATTACAAAAGCGGACGAAAATATTTACATGTTCTCAGACGTAATGATATACGATCGTATTAGTAGTAAAATTGAACATTTTCAAATAATATGAGCGAACTTTCATGACATTTTTCTGAAATGATTTATATTCTTAGAAAATGATTCCACATAATTATGTTTGTCGCGATAGCTCAGTTGGAAGTGCGTCAGACTTTAACTCTCAATTGTTTTTTGTTGTTTTTACACCCTCTAAAGATTTTTTCTTAAATGGATTATTGCCTCAACTTTGTGAATGGATGTTGACCATTTGGTAGGCTCATGGACTTCAAGATAAGATTTTGTCTGGATGTTGTCAAACATCATTTGAGACTGAATTGTCTATCTTGTATGAATATAAGTATCTACAACTATTTTTTGTGTTATGTGTATTGGTTATCAATTTTCTATTCTTCAACATCTCTAGCGTAGCCAGGATGAGGCAGACTAGGCAAGCACCTCGTCACTTTTTTAACATTTTTTAGAAATATTCCTCTATCAATGATGAGTTGTAAAATAATCTTACCGATTTTTAATCTTATATCAACAATTTTTGAGTTTCAGTTGTAAACAAGCTCATCACATCAGTTGTGGTCTTGGATGGTCAAACCATTTTTAGGTTCTAAATTCAAAACTAATGAAAAAATAGTGTCTGTCAGACATGATTAATCAAGTCATATCCGTCAGATACAATTTTAGTTGCACATAATAAAATTATCTTGTGTTTATTTCACGCCTAACCATCGCGTAAGCAGGTGTCACCATACAGCGTCAAAAAATACAGTAGTACAGTTTTCTGTATGGTGACGAAAATTAACTGAGTTGAAGCAAAAACTATAATGAGGGTTTTAAAAAGATTAATTAGATGAAAATAAATACGATTTCCGGTGTAATAAAAATAGCATTCTCTTAGGAATGGTTTTAACTTTCTAATTATGATAAAAGTTTTTCGAGCACTGCTCGGATTTTTTCTGACTGGATCGGCCCACATAATCGACTCGAGAGAAAAATGTTGTTTTTTCACTTTTCGTTTGGTTATTATTTTCCCTGTCGTCTGAGAGTATGGATTATTTTTATGAAAATATGTATTTGTTATCTACACATTTTAGAACAGATGAATATTCGGCAAATAATCATTCAGTGTATTTATTTAAAAAAGATCAGAACTATACGGTGACGCATCAGCTGTAGGGTGACGATTCCTTAGATTTTATGAAGTGCTCTAAGCTTACTGTTCGAACAAGAGGTAAAGAAGCGTCAGATCTACATGTACATTATCACTGGTAAGTATCAAGCGAAGGTTACAGCCGTCACCTTCGCATTTAAGATGGCAGACAGGAAGTATTAATTTCGATATTTTTAGTTTTCATGGAATTAACTATTTGAAAGTTGACGTAATGCTTTGGTATCATTTGAACTAAACCAGGCTTCTCTCATATGACTAACAAAAATAGCCTAGCCATCTTTACCCCATGCAAGATATTGCATCTTTCATCCTAAAAAGTCACACGTGCAAGATGAGATTTACTTGTGACATCCCTTGTTTTAAAACATCAATAACATAGCAACAAGAGAGTTTTTGGTTTAATGATCTTTACCGTATCATACATTTCCAGTAACCTTCCATTAAGCGGTGGAAGATATCGTTGAACTGTAGCGCCCATGCACTATATATGAACAAATGATCATACCCCAGAGTTTCCATTTCATACAATCTTAGTCTCATTTAGTTCATCAAAGCATAGCGTCGCCGTACAGCTGGTGCGTCACCGTACAAATTTGATCTTTTTAATATACATAATGAATGGTTGTTTGCTGAATCTTCGCCCGTTCTAAAATGTGTAGTCAACAAATACATATTCTCATAATAATAATCCATACTCTCAGATGGCAGGGAAAATAATAACCAAACGAAATGTGAAAAAACAACCTTTTTTCACTTGGGTCGATTATGTGGGCCGATTCACTCAGAAAAAATCCGAACAGTGCTCGTAAAACGTTTATCATAATCAGAAAGTTAAAACCATTTCTAAGAGAATGCTGTTTTTATTTCACATGAAATCGGATTAGTTTTCATCAAATTAATTTTTTTAAATCTTTGTCATAGTTTATGCTTCAAAGCAGTTAATTTGCGTTACCGTACAGAAAACTGTACTCCGCTATTTTTTGACGCTGTACGGTGACGCCTGCTTACGCGATGGTAAGGCGTGTATTTTTAAGTATCCATAAAATACCAAATACTGTATTCCATTTAGAATGGAATATTGAAATAGTTACGTCATTGAAACATGTCACTTTATTCAGAAAATATACAAAATAGGTAGAGATGTCACGGAACAAAAAAAAATCAGAACGGTTCGGTTCGGAACATTTTGCTTCGGAAGGGAACAATTTCGGAACGGTTTGGAACAGAGTGACTGAGTGTATTAGATTAAAATAAATTGATTATCTAGGTCTATTTGGTAGCGAAAAGCTCTTCAAAACTCTTCTTCAAAGAGAAGGAGTAAAAAGAATGAACCTCTTTTGATACAAAATATTGATATTGAAAGAAAAATGCTGTTTTGTGGAGATTCAAGGGCCAGAAGTTGTGAAAGGGTAAAATGTTCTTGTTCCTGAACCGAACCCAAATTCTTAATTTTTGTTCCGTGTTCTTGTTCCTGAACCGAACCCAAATTCTTAATTTTTGTTCCGTGTTCCGTTCCGAGGGCATAATTCCGCAGTTGGAACAAAATCGAGTATCCATGACACCTCTCAAAATAGGTGTATTTCCCAAATCATATTACTCAATATCTTAGTGCTTTTATATTAATTAAGGAATTTTTGTATGTTTAGCTGCAGCATTCTTCCTAACATACGAGAGCATGAAACATCTTCTGAGTCCCATGTTGTCAGGTCATGCAGCAGTCTCTCTGTCACACAGTCTAGCAGCTTCATGCGGAGAAGTGGTAAATATAACTATAGCAGGGCTTTCAATAGCAGGGGGCGAGTGTCTGAAATCACCGTTTGTTTTCGATAATCCGCCGCTTGTTAGAAGTCAAATATTGTCTAAGTTTTGGGGGAAAATTAAAAGTCTTCTATAGACTATCCTTTATTTTATTCAGTGATCTTGTTTTGCACTTCCTTGTCTATGATTTGTATCTCAGTTTCGAACTGCAAGGGAACTCACTATAATCGTAAAGATCACTTGATCTCATTATAGTAGTAAACACCGTCCAATATTTTACCCGTTTGGGCTATGCATTTTAGATCACTATCTGACCACTATCATGTGCATGATAATTCAAATTCCAACCTTTGGTATAATCAGAGTTGGTTATTTTCCACTGGATATGCAGTTACATGTATGATTGATACAAATCTGTCCAACCAGTCACCAATGTAACGTTCTATAAAGTCGTTTAATGTAGTTACATAAAGCTTTGGGTTTAGTAATATATTTAATTAAGACAAATATAAGATATACTCGTATATGATCATTATCTTGATATGTTTACAACTCAAGAGTCTCTATTCAATGTTTAATATTGTAATTGTACATATTTTACTCTATCAAAATACCAGTGTCATATAAAATACTGAGTGCCACTATAACATCACCACACTATGTTGATTGCATGTTGTCACTGCATGTACTGTGAGAGTCCCACTTCGCTGAATAATACACATTGCTGAATAACGACGTTGACCCACTTTGCTGAATAGTACACATTGCTGAATAACGGCATTGTTTCAGACATGTGTCTTCTAGGTCACACTAAGAACGTCACGATAACGTTGATATCAAAAGCATGAACGCCACTCATTCAGTCTCTGTATAAGCACATAGGCAACTAGGCACTAGCATCTAGTATTCAACACATAAGCACCTCATATGAGTATCAAATTCATTTTCATCTTGAATTTCTAATGGTGCTGCTTTTTGTACAATTGGGACCATTTTACTTTTGAGTAACAATCTTAAACCACTTTGGCTTATATTTTTGTCTTATCCAATGTTATCAAAGTGTGAAATGTGAAACTTTTTATTAATTTCAAAAATGTTTTTGAAGGACTTTTTGTTCAAAATATCGTAAATTTATTTAAAACTAACTTTAAGATGTCACACTTATCCTTTATAGCGATAATTCACACCGATGCATAGCAATCATCCTCACTTGTTTTTTTTGCTGAAAAAAATCAAGAAAATTGGTTGATAGATGAGCGAGCAATGAACTCATCCATGCATGAAAGTGGTTCAGGGAAAGATGCATTTCAAAATTTTAATTCTCATTGAAACCAATTGTAAAATAATATTAAAAACATAATATATTCATCCTTTTAACCTGGTTAGACAGTCAAAATTGGTTTATTCTTTAAGTTTAGCATATTTAGAAAAGATTGACATTGAAAAATGTTGCCCCTGAGTGATGTCACGATGTGGTCACTTAGGTTGAAAATATTTTCGATGTGCTAAATCATTGAATTGGCACATTAGATATAACATTTTATTTTTAACATAGTTTGTCCGTTGTTCAATCATTATATTGGTGTTAAAACGATATACTGTAGAGGTTCTTATATGAGTACCTGTGCAAGATCGTCCATTCTTGATGAGCTTTCATAATACTTCTTTATCGAGTCGCACACGAGATAAAGAAACATTATCAAAGCGACTGTCGGATAAATTATGAATGTAGTTTTGCACAGGTGTCAACGGAACCAAACAGTGAACCCTGCTTTCCCGAACCCGAGTTTCCAGGATTTGCCTCGCATGCCTTCGACTCTTTCTCAAGATTTGGGCCCTATATTGTACCCCTACCGTATCATCCTGGTGTCTCGTTTATAACACCCTTGTAATTACAATGCGAAGTTACTTAAGCATGATAAAAAGTGTATTTGTGGATGGGGGGAGGTTTGAACCTCCACTTGTATACATGTATACCTTTATATACTCAACATGCCAAGTATTAACAGTACAAAAGGGAGAAAAAATCCATCAGGTCCATAATTCTACACGTTCACATACAAGTTTAAAAATCTTAAATGTATTTAGAACTACGCCTTTGTACCAGCGACACACTTTCACAGGTGCGTCTTTACAATGAAACACAATAACGAAAATTGCAACTTTAGGATCTTGAAAAAAGTTGCAATATCCTTCCTGGTTAGAATAGGTTTCCATGTACAACTAAAAACACTATATAAAATAACTATCTATACACCATCAATGCAAATATATGCTTTCTTCCATTCTGATACTCATAGCATCTTTCTGTTTCACCTGAATCATCTCAGGGCTGAGAAGAAATGAGATGTCATGGTTTATCATGATGGCTTTCTTCGAGAATACATAATGCGGGTCTGAGAATGTTGGATGTCACATTCATTGCAACACACCTTGCAACAATGTCTTATGAGGGTAATTTCTTATATTGAGAAGTTTATCATCTACTGAAATTAAATACTTGTAGCTACATGCAAGTAGCAACACATACAAGTCTTCCATGCAAATGGAGGTGCGAATTCACATTAACAAATTAAGATAAGATCCACAATATGTTATCGAATGGTTAAATGCGCAAAATGTGTAGATATGTTTTCCTTAATAATGTGTGAGGAGGCATTTCAGGCAATTTTCGAACACGTAGTGAGAACAAGTTTGGTGTAGAGGGGAGGGGGATATCTCCCACCTCGGTCTCTCTCTAATGCCTAGGCAACATATGCGCCAGGTGCCGGCCGATGAGTAGTCATCGGCAGATTTCTAAATCAGTTTCGACAAAAATTATGTAATTCGGCAATTTTAGTAACAAAACATGAAGGTACATTATGTAAAATTTTGAAGACAATTGGTGTATATTTAACAAAATACCAGCACCAGTCCTGTTACTTTTGGAACACCCTGTACCCTCTGGAGGTGGTAAAAAAACTAAAATGAATCTGATATACACATAATCACAAGTGAATCATCTATTAATACATCACTCTCATTTTAATAATGACAATTTTAGATTTTGATTTATATCAAAAGTGCTCAATTCAACAGGTGCATTTGGATTTGTGAAATGCAACCTGTGTAAGGGTAAGTTATCTTATAAAAGGTAAATGACATTCTATATAAGTTGCCCTAGTCATTCCACAGTTCCAGGTGTTATTTTGTGGAGCCCATGTCTTGCCACATCACACATGGAAATGACTTTGACAAACCTTGGACATCTTTGTTTCAGTCCATGGACTCTAAAATAACAAGAATTTGCGTTGTCGGGATCGTAAAATTGGTTATTTTGAATGCCGCCTCTTGTATTTTTCATCTGCCTCTTGTACACAAAGTTACTGAAACCACCGTATAGTCTTGACTCAAGCGCTTATGCGGTTCCCCATTCCTTTTATCCCAACAAACAAAGTTTGGTAGGGATATCGTTTATTTCGTGTATGGGGGAATATGAATTTTCGTTAATTGACCTTTTGTGATCAGAATTCAAGTATTTTGTTTGTGAATACTGTTGTCATGTTTTTCGTCTTATTGGTATGACGTCATATAAAAATGATATTAGACATGATGGAGGGACAAAATGGAGGACACATGGCAGTTTTGAGCTGAAAATATTATCGTTTCTTTTATGAAAGCAATGGGTGGTATAATAACCAGGTATGCCCATTTGACTAGGTCATGAGTTTATCTTTATATGTGTGAAGTTTCGGTGAAATTCATACTAAACATTGATGCCTATAAGCGCGCCGGATTCTGAATCTGTGTATTTTTTAATGATTTTTCACCGTCTTAGAATTTCAATTTTTTCCTTTGAAAAAATGAGATTTGCATTGTTTTTCAATTAGAAAAATGAGTAAACATGAATAGCTCGAAATCTAACGGTGAGATTTTGTTTTAAAAAATCATGGATATCAAGGCTAAATATAACTATAAAGTAAACTTAAAAAAGCAATGCTTGGACTCTTCATATTCACACAAAAAATTAATTAGTAAATGAGGTTTGATATTTGTGAGAATAAGTTGTACGAGGTGCAATGCTCTACAAACACCAGACTACAGGGTGGATTAGGATCAATGACACACATAAAAATTAATTTAAAAATATTTCATGATAATTATCTCAAACAAAAGCAGTTAGCGAAGGATATGCTTCATTACACTCAATAAATAGTTATCACTTTTGACTATATATACATATCTCATGGGAATGTATTTCCATCTGCTCAAGATATCATATTTTAGCTTCGAAAATCACAATCGTTGGATAATACATTTGTCTCAGAATGATAGGCCACCCTGTAGCAATGTAGCTTTCACTTGAAGTGTACCCTTGAGAATAATGAACTTACTTTCAAATTGGTCTTGCTTTTGTGGTGTATCACAGGCTGGTATCGAAATATTTGTCCGCTTTGACGGAGCATGCTATTTTTCATAAAAACACTAAGAATACTTCACGATTTATTTCTTACTCATATGTTTCGTTATACCATACAAAATTACTTACTCCATGCAATGGATATATCATTTGCGGGTAACTTTCACTTCTGTTTGAAGTCCAATTACGCTGGGAAGAAAAGCTATTGAAAATGGCGCCGGAGTATCATACTTCAAAATGTACCATTTCTTGTTTAACTTTCTAATGGCACGATATAGTGACGCGATAATATTTACACATGGTTTCAGCTTAACTATGAAGGTATGAATGAGATATTGATGTATTTGGTCTTTTAAATTCTTTTATAAAAAATAATGTTTAATTTTTTTGTCTGCTCTGACGGAGCAGTTGCAAATGTGAACTATGAAAATGCTCCGTCACAGCGGACAAAAAAATATTAATATTATTTTTTATAAAAAAATTAAAAAGACCCAATGCATTAATATCTCATTAATACCTTCAGATTTATGCTGAAAACATATGTTAATATTATCGTGTTACTATATCATGCCATTAAAAAGTTAAAAAAGAAATGGTACATT